TGTCCACTTTCTGCTTTTTACGTGCCCTGGGGGTGAAGCGTCGAAGGCTGGGGTTTAGGGTTTAGGGTTTGGGGTTTAGGGTTTGCGGACGGGCTAGGGTTTAGGGTTTAGTGGGGGTTGAGTTGGCTAGGGTTTAGAGGGTGAGGGTTTGCGCAGGGTTTAGGGTTTGAGGGTTTAGGCCCTCCCTCTCAGCTTCGCTGTGTGGCGGCAGCAACTGCTGGTGTGCCGCTCCAAACCCTAAACCCTAAACCCTAAACCCTAATTTGTAGCTCTTGAGGCTCTTTGCTGCCAGTCGGGACAAAGGCTGGGGTGCAGCAGCACAAGGTGCTGGCTCCCCACTGCTGCTGCTGCAACAGGCGCTGCTGCAGCTGCTGCTGCAGCTGCACTTCCTGCTGCTGCTGAAAGTGCTGCTGCTGCTGTTCTGCTGCATCGAACCACCTGCAGCTGCAAGCGACCCCGAAAGCAGCAGCAGCAGCAGCTGCTGCTGCTGCTGCTGCTTCGGCAGCAAGTGCAGCAGCAGCAGCTGCTGCTGCTTCGGCAGCAAGTGCAGCAGCAGCAGCTGCTACTGCTGCTGCCTCGGCAGCAAGTGCAGCAGCAGGAGCAGCAGCAGCCAGGGCAGGCAGGTGACTAGCTGGAGACACAAGGCGAATTCAGGGGCTACAGACAACGAGGGTTTAGGGTTTAGGGTTTAGGGTTTAGGGTTTAGGGTTTAGGCGGTGAGTTGTTTCCTGCTGTTGGCGTTGGGCGGTGGAATGACGACGTTTTGCCTGTAGGCGGCAGCAGCAGCTGCTGCAGCGGTGGCAGCAGCAGCAGCAGCAGCAGCAGCAGCAGCAGCAGGCGGAGCAGCAGCAGGAGAATAAGCAAATAAACTTCTTCTGTTTTCGCTAACCAAAAACCCTCCTTGAATGTCTGTCAAAGTGGCCCGGAGGTTTACAATGCGGCGTTCAATATCCAGCTCCATGGGGTCGCTGCTGCTGCTGCTGTTCCAGCTGCTGCTGCAGCCCTTGCTGCTGCTGCTGCTGCTGCTGCTGCTGCTGCGGCTGCCGCGGCTGCGGCTCCCCAGAGACCAGCCCAGCCCACTCGACAGCGGCAGCCGGCGACTCACGCTGCTGTTGCAGCGCAGCGCAGCAAGCAGGTCCTCCGCCTTTCTGCAAACACAGCAGCAGCAGCAGCAGCAGCAGCGGTAGCAGCAGCAGCAGCAGCGGTAGCAGCAGCAGCAGCGGTAGCAGCAGCAGCAGCAGCCGCAATTGGCAACAGCAACAGCAGAAGTACCAGACGCAAAAGAAATCAGGGACACGGCTTGGAAGCTGCATAGCAGAAGATAGCACCAGCAGCAGCAGCAGCAGCAGTAGCAGCAGCAGCAGAAGCAGCAGCAGCAGCAGCAGCAGCAGCAGCAGCAGCTCACTGCAGCTCCTGTTCTGCTGCTTGCGTGTCTCTAACAACGCATGCATCGAAGCCTCTGCGGACGCAGGCGAGGGTTTCCACAGAAAGTTCTTTTTTGTCTCTGAGCTGCAGCTGCTGCAGCTGCTGCTGCTGCCGCTGCTGCCGCTGCTGCTGCTGCTGCTGCTGCTGCTGCTGCTGCTGCTGCTTGCCTTTGGACGCAGGGGAGGTGCGGCTGCTGTGGCGGTAAGAGTAAAAGTCGTTGCTGCGCATGGGGATGATCACGTCAGTTTGCTTCTGCCGCGGCTGCTGCTGCTGCTGCTGCTGCTGCTGCTGCTGCTGCTGCTGCTGCTGCTGCGCGCAGCTGTGGTGTTGATTGTGGGGTGTATGTACACCTGGAGATGGCTTTCTCGTGGCCAGCTGCGTCTCCACTTGCGGACTTTTATTTTTTATTTTAATTTTTTCTTTTTCTGTTTTATCGGCGGTGAGCTCCTTGGCCAGCTGCCTGCTGTCTGCTGCTGCTGCTGCTGCTGCTGCTGCTGCTGCTGCTGCTGCTGCTGTGCTGAGGGCATCGTTCTGCAGCTCTTGAAAGCCCCCGCCGTCTGCTGCTGCTTTGTAAGCAGCAAGAGGACTATAAAACTCATTAATGGACTCCAAAGGAGAATTCAAAGAGTCCAAAGGCCCCTGCTGCGTCTCGCTGCAGATGCCGCTGTGGGGAGAGAAGGCAGCAGCGCCTTTGCCAGTAGAGGGGGTGGCCCGGGACAAAGTCTCGTCTTTCTGCTGCTGCTGCTGCTGCTGCTGCTGCTGCTGCTGCTGCTGCTGCAGCGGGAGGGAGCTGCAGGCGGGGGCCGCGGTGAGCCGCACCGCCCTTCTCTTGGAGTGCATGCAACCCATCTTGAGGGTTTAGACAAAAAAAGAATTTAAAGAACAAGAAGAGCCTCTGTGGAAGAAGAAATGCCAATTGAACTGAGACCGCGGAAGGCGCAGTCGAGCAAAGTGGAGTGACGCGGGACAAGGCCAGGGAACCGACAGCTCCCTGACGCCACCGAGGAATTAAAAATTGAAATATAAAATAAAAGACAAAAAGAAAAGACGAAACACAAAATGAAGAAAGAAAGAA